ATCCCGGAAGAAAAAGTTACAAAAGAAAAAAAAAGTCAACGCCGGAGACCGGCGTTGACCGCCGGTCAACGCCGGAAACCGGCGTAAAAAAAAAGTTTTTGAAAAAAAAAATTTTGTGAAAAAAAAAATTTTGGGTCAAAATTGAATAATTTGTGAAATTTGGGGTCAAATTGAAGTTAAATTAAGTTAAGGATGAAATTGGAGCATATAAAAGTAAGAGGGGTTATTTTAGTCCTTTACATAAATCTGGACCATGTGTGGACTTATTGGTAAAGGAGAATATTGTCTGGATCTCTTTATGAATAAGTTCCCACTGATGGGCTTATTTGTAATATGCCCATATAAGATTATGCATTATTGTAAGCTACAATTTAAAATAAAAAATTATATATAGGGCCGTGCTAAATTCCGCACTAAAATTTGCTATATATAAACTATAAAAAAATCTGTCTCTATTCATATTCTCTAAGACGATTTTATCTGTCTCTACTCATATTCATTTATTTTTGACATGAATAATCATAAAAAATGAATTTAGTTTTATTTAATATTTATTCAATTTCATTAAACCTTTTTAATTATTCGATATTCTTTAACACATTAATTAACATCTATTAAATGATATTAAACATTAGACAAACATAATTAAAAAATTAACAAACAAATGAATTAAAAAAAATATGTCTAAAGCCTAATTTTCTACTCCACCGCCCAACCTCCAACACCAACCCCAAACCAAAACCAGCCTAATCCAACCCCTTCATTCACACATTTCTGTGTCCACTAAAATTACGACAAGTGTATATCGAGTTATTACACCATCACTATTAAAAACATGGAAAATGAATTGAACCACCACCTTTACTTGTATGAAAGAATTAATTGCATGTCCTTTTTCTTAATTTAATTATTAACTAAATACCAAGGAATAATTAGCTAGAAATGAAAAATCACTCTAATGTAATTATCATTATTTTTCTAATAAATAATCAATTAGCTAAAATTCAGTCAACTACATCATATTAGTTTGACAACGAAATAACATAATTATATGCATAATTTTTCTTCGTGTCCATAACTGAATGGCATTGATTTTGCTCATTTAACGGGACCGTTCGGTGTCAGTGTACTCCGTTAAAAAAACGTAGCCACGTACAACCTTTGTCTGTGGCTGATATTAGCGGGACGGCGTTAATTTCACAAATGTTATATCCCACCTTCTCGCAATAAATTTGTCTCTTCTTCACTTTATT